AAACGCAAGCACAAGACCGGTATAGTTGACCAATCAGTGCCGCGTGCCTAAAGATAAATTACCAAAATGCCCCTCAAAGAGAACAGCCTTCTCGATCTTGTAGGTCTAGAAACACTGTGATTCTGCCATCGGTCAACACACTCTTGTACTTATTCTCGTGGTATATCTTGTCTCGAAAGAGTGCAGTCACCGAATAACTTTGTGGTGCACTGCAAGGTTGCCAAGTCTCAAGGTTTGGCCGTGAGACTCACGAATATTCACCTTTTTCACAGTCTCACGACGGGAGTTACTTTTCTGAAGGATTTCTTCTTGGGCCTTAATCATTTTTCAATTAAGATCAAACGCCTCAGTGGTTGCTGAACACATTTCATTCCACTACCTTGTTTATGACAATCACTTGCCCAGACCTATTGCGCGAATGATTGTCAAACGCGTTAATGTATCGGGTCAGTATTATAATAAGTCTGTGATCATTGATTGTCGTTGGCTTACATTCCCCCTCGGGGGGAGGGGGGTAACTTAATAGGTTTGACGTACGGGGACGTGCCATTATTTAGGGGTACCTTTTTTCCAAAAATGCGGAATTATGGATATCAGTTTTCAGTTGTGTGCGGAATTATGGGTACCATTTGAAGAAATATGCAGAGTTATCGGTACCAATTTGGAAAATATTGCAAAATCATCAAGAGGGACATTTAGAAGTAACAAAATGAATGTCCAGTTAGAAATTTATAGAAGTAATAAAATTAATGTCAAGTTAGAAATTTAAAAACTCTTTAGACTAAGTAAGGTTGCCCTTCAAACATGTGCTAGATTTTACTCTCTTATCAACTTTAACTGAATCTAAAATATTAACTTCACCAGTATTTTATCAGATCAGCAGTGCAGTTAGCACCAAAAAATTTCCAGCATCTAAAGTTCTGTGCCATGCTAATTTAGAGTTTGATCAGGAGTCAAAAACTTTCAAACTGCCTGAGCCAGAGCTGGAAGCTCTTAAAGAGACAGTTTCCGGAAAGACAAATAAAAATGGGGTGCAAACAACCAGGATTACACAACATAAAAGGGCTGAAAGTGCCAATAACTATTTTAAAGGAACATTTCTTGAAATTGTAGAGCCAAGCACGAACTTTGATGGGACTCGTAGATCCCAAAGGAGAAGGACCACAATAAATCATTTGCATTAAGGGAATCCAATCATGTAAAAGGTTACAAGAACATCTTTGATTTGATGCCTGTCAGGCATTAGCCAATAAGATAACAGATATTTTGTTGTTGCATGTCAGCAGTTTTTGCACTTTCTTGGATTACATAATGAATCGGATTGCTATATTGTGAACGCCTGTCTTACACCAATGGGTTCCCTAAATGCTCTTGGAATTGAGTGATTGGTGTGTAATGTTAAAATTTTAGAACAATGGACATATAGAAACGCTATTATTTAGCAAGAATTGCAATGGTTCCTATCTTGTCTGCTGTAACTTTCCACCGTTGATGCTACTTCGAATCTTATTTAACGTGCAGAGAACACGGAACCAGTGAGAGAGACATTGTGTTGATATATAACTCTGATCTGAACTTGACTGAACTTGACTGACTGACTGACTTACATTCAAATTAACATACTTATATACAAAATAAATGTGCTGAGTAATGATGTGTTGTGATGATGTAATGACGACGCAATGGAGAAGGAAAGATCTAGACTTGGAAAGAAATCAGCATGACATAGATGTGTGAACGTGTGTACAATGGTGAAGGGAATGTCCTGTGCTAGCTGATGCTGTGAATGACGTAGGTGGATGTCATGGTGATGGCATGATGTAGGAATATGGCCTAATTTACAATATTAAAATCACTACAGACATGCAAAAGAAGTTTTTGTTTTCTTGAAAAATGTTCTGTGTCTTGCGGAACTTTTACTAATTTTTGCGGAATTATGGGTCACATTTTTCCAGATATGGGCGGAATTATGGGCCTTAATTTTGAACCAAAATGACACGTCCCCGTCCAAAACTAGGCTTAGTTACCCACCCGAGCATTCCCCGACCTTCTGATGATTACACAGGAGACAACAGAAAATTGGACCGACCCGAGACATTCTCCAAACGCTATGAGTTTGCACCTGATATGAAACTTCAGAGTGAGGCGAAAAAGCAACCACAAAATATAATACCCTCCATTAATTTACATCGTTATCGTCAAAACTTTACACTTGTGGTCTCTTTTACAACTAAGTGCGCATTCTCGTCAATTCATTATACATTATTATTGTTCATTGCTTCGTTTGTTTATTCTTACGTTTAAAAGCCTGTTCTCTGTGTTTCTCTGGAATGTTTCAAATGTGAAATAAACAAATGTTTAGGAATTCTGAATGGTCTAGTTTTAAGCCATTTGAGCACTCCAGATCTACTGAAATTCGGAATTCTTCTGCCCCCAACCCTGGAACCCAGTTCCATTGCTCACTAGCTGCGCTCATGAAATCTCACAGGTATTATTTTTCAAAACATGGCAACCTTGTGCAGTACCAACTGTTTGGAAAACGTAACGAGAACCAGTCTATTCTTTAGATCACGTCATTCCAAGCGAAATGTTAAGCTTCGTGAACCCACTGACAACGTTGACTAGGGGCAACATTTACATGGAGACAAAGAGTAAATTCTAGCACGAACTTACAAAAGATAACTTAGAAAACAAAATTGCTAATTTCTCACTTATGGTACGAGGCAAAAGATCAAACATAAACTCCAGCAAGGATAGTGTAACAAAGCAGTACTTCGGAAATACTCATAAAAATGCCCTAGCTCTTTGGCACTGAATTCTTCACGAACCGTTTTACAAATGAGATGATTTTGGTACATAAAACCTACTGTCACATGCACTAGAACCCTCTAACAGTCATGAAAATTTGAAAAACATGCTCGAGGCTTGAGACATCATCAAGAATGATCAAAAGCCAACTCGTGCACATTGGCTATCTCATCACGCACAAAGACAATGAAACAGAAGGCCTAAAACATCATACTTGAAGAACAACTGAACTAGTTTCTTTCACTGTGAATGGGCCAATGATCCTAATACTTGGCTCTATAGAAAATACGGCAAATGAACTGTAATCTTAAAATAAACTGACTCCATAACAGTGTTATGAAAGCTCTTGACTGTGTTTACCATCCGATACTATTACAGAACATGTCATGCCTTGGAATCAGGGATTCTGAATAAGCTTGGTTCGAGTCATTTCTTAATAACAGAACTCAAGTAACTATTATCAACAGCAAGCGATCAGAGGAGTTGCACGAGAAAACCCTTTGGAGTCCCCCAAGGCTCAGTGCTAGGACCAATTTTACTTTTGATATACATAAATGACTTAAGATCAGTTGTTGGTTGCAAAATGCACCTTTATGCAGATGATGCAGTGCTTCTTGTGGTTGACCCAAAGGCAGAAGAAATCCAAGTTAAGCTAAATAGAGAGATAAATAATGCGGGAAAATGGCTAACAGCAAACAGGCTTATAATTCTGAGCAGGACCACCAGAAATCTGCTTGCCAATGCCATAGTGATACCACATTTCGATTACTGTTGTGAAGCATGGTCGTCAGCTAGCAACACTAGTTAAAAGAAAATGGACGTCTCTATAACGAGGCAACTAAACTCGCATCTAATGAAGACAGAATATCACTACAAGATCGCCTTGATAAGAACGTAGCAATATTAACTCTTAAATGTTTGAATGATTTAACACTATGTATCTCCAAGAAAAATTCAAATTAACATCATCTGTGCATCAGAAAAACACAAGCTCGTGTAGATACAACAATATATATGTTGAACGTATAAAAAACCGATGGACCTCTTAAACATTCAAAGCAAGAGCTACTCAGATATGGAACAAATTACCCGATGAAATAACATCTCTGTGTAGCATTTTACAATTTAAGTCACATTTTAAGAACTGATTTGGACACATATATTAAGAGTTTTAATGCTTTTATGTACCTTTTTACCTTTTAGCTTTTGAATTTAATTTTTACGTTACTTTGACAGTGGGCCCTATTAATAAGAATTTTTCTCTTTGTAGTTAAATTATTATAGGCTACCCACTTTAAATATATCATATTATTATTATTATTATTATTATTATTATTATTATTATAAAGAAATTTTCCACACGTTCTCTTCAGTATCAACCTAAGCTTTTCATAAACAACGAATCTATCCCACCTGTCTCGAATGGAAATTCTTTTAAGTACCTCGGTCGTCATTTTGACTTTGAAATGACAAACCAAGAACATAAATCTGATCTTTTATCATCACTGTCCAACATGCTCAAACAAATTGATTCCCAGCCTCTACATGCAAAAAATAAGTTGCTTCTTTATCACAACTTTGTTCTTTCTAAAATCTCTTGGAACCTTACTGTAGCAGATCTTTCAAAGACGTGGGTTGTCGAGAATCTTGACAACCTTGTATCCAAATACATCCGCCAGTGGCTCGACCTCCCAATAAGTGCTACCTTGAGTAGCATTATTCTTTCTAAAAACCAGTTTGGACTCAGCCTAACTTTACCATCCGCCAAATTCCTACAGTGTCAAACTATTTTACGCAACGCATTGAAATCTTCACCAAACGATAACATTCGCTCTTTATGGAAAAATACCAGCAGTAGCACAAATATACAATATGATATATATAGGAACACGAAAGAAGCATTAAAGGCTGTCCAGCAAGAACATAAAGATCGTCTGCAAAACATTCTAACTTCCCAAGGATCTTTATTGTCACATCTTTTTAACCAGGATCTTCCACAAATAAACAAACTTTGGTCCAAGGTGCAAAGTAGCATGCCTCAGAATATTTTCAATTTCACCATAAGGTACCTAAACAATACCCTTGCTACACAGAAAAACTTGAAAAAGTGGAACTTGAGCCAGACTTCTGACTGTTCTTTCTGTTTTCTGCCAGAAACCCTCCTTCACGTTGTTGCTGGCTGCAAAACATACCTGGAACAAGGCCGATACACCTGGCGTCATAACTCTATCTTAAACTTTCTAGCTACGTCTCTTAAAGCTGTTAATGAATCTACCATCTACGCTGATATACCTGGCTATCTTTCACCATCAATCATAACTGGAGAAAACCTTCGCCCAGATCTTCTCTTGAAGACTAACAACAATTACCTATACATCTTAGAGCTTACTGTTGGTTTTGAATCCAATCTTGACACAAATGCAACAAGAAAACACAGCAAGTATGCTCCTCTCCTATCTGACTTACAGCGAAAGTTCAAATGTGAATCTTTCTATGAATCTTTCTTCTTTCTCTCTTTTGTGAATCTTTCTATGAGCTCTCTTGGCATCTTTGGCAATTCCTGCATCTCTTTCTTCAAGATGTGTGACTCTCTCTCCATCGATCAACAACAAAAACGGTATCTCATCTCTAAACTTTCCAACATTGCCATTCGTACTACGTACTACATATTTTGTTGCAAAAATAAACTATGGACAAATCCGGAATTACATCCGTTTTAATTTTGGTTGATTTATTTTTCTCAGTTTTTCCTTTTACCTTACGATTGTTATAGTTTTTTCTTGTAAAACCAGGCTAGCCAATTGCAAATTACCTTGTAATAGTGAGATTTGTAATTGTAGTTTAAGTTGAATTGAAAATGAAATGTTTCCATTATTATTATTATTATTATTATTATTATTATTATTATTATTATTATTTTATTACTATTTTATTATTATTATTTATCACTGCCATCAACAAGGCTCAGGTTTTGAAAACTTCCTGAGAATTTGAAGAAAAAAGGAGGAAGGAGTAAGGCCTTGGGACATGGGACTTTCATTTCTTTTGTCCTCAATTGTCTTCCTGCAGTATTTGATCGAACGACGGCCATGTTTTCAAGGCTCTAATAAAAAAATTGTTTTCACCCCATGTAGATGCTATACACCATTATAATACTACTAGAACAATACTAATACGATATCAAAAATTCACTTGTCTTCCAATTGATATTACGTCTCATGATTTGCAATATAAGATAAGTACTTTTGATTGAAAAACTCCCTTCTTTGTTTCTTGCTCCCCACTGTTGACGTATTTCTCAGTAACTAGCTGGACGGGCGTTCTTCTGATTCTACAACATTTCATCATTCAACTACAATGCATTCTTATCTGCGTTTGTTCTCTATGCAATATAACAAACATCTTTGCTGCATACTAACACCCTAATTCAATACTTCGCTGTTTAAAGTTTGAACTTCTTGTGAGAAATATGTGTTAAGATAATGCGACGAGATTCTTGCATTTTAAGTTTAGATTCTTGCAGTTGAGAAAGTATTAGATTCCAATTGTGTTCAATAAGGATGGCCAATTAATGATCAAGCGAACTGTGGTGGGAAAAATATTTCTTTATTGAATCTTCATAATTCTATGCACTTATAAAATTACTAATTCAAAAAGTTAAAATAATCTTTTCGATATTATAAAATATTATTTAATAAAATAATTATTTTGAAAAATTACCAATGAATACTTAAATCTAAAGAAAATCTTGAATTTGGAAAATCTGCGTACAAATAATATACTAATTGAAATATCAAGCTATATATGATGAGCTGGTGGTAAAAGCTATTAAACTTTATATTAAGTGAACAGAAACGAATTGTATCTGTTATGGTTTATGGTTTGCGTTATTATGAAGCTTATAGTCAGTACAGATATTCTTCGGCAATGTAAGCCTTCAAACGTAAGCTACTGAGCTGTCTCTTCGCAGGAATTGATGACAAGCTTAAGAAGAGACTTGATTCAACGTGAAAGGTCATGCAGGGAAAGATCTTTAATGATTAAGGATACACTCTAGTTCTAACCAGCGGATGAAGATGCCTAATTCTCTGGATTTCGGCTTCCACGACGGTATCTCGACATTCAGGTCGGAAACTTTCGATAGGCTTGTGAATGTCTTTAGTGGCTCATTCGAGGGACCAAAATATTTACCTGGAAAGCATTGTTTGATTTTGAGTTCAGAAAGTCTGTTCAACATTTTGCTGTTTCTCTTTCTCGGTTTGATAGCACTTGGTTCAAGAGAATTATATCAATATCGTTGTAAGATGCACTTACCTAGCCGGGATATAGACGTTTGAAGGGGGGGGGGAGGGGGGGCGAGGCCTAATTAGTTGGATAATTGAAAAAGTACAGGCATTATTACATTCAGAATTAAGATTATGTGAAAGAGTGGGGATATATATTATGGGAATAGAGTGGGGTTTACAGAATGGTGGGGTTGACACACACGATATTACAGTACAACAACCTGCTGCTTGTGTAACTGGCAAATCTGCAATATGGTAAAATAAAAAAGAGGATCTCAGAAACCACCTCTTCGCCTTACTCCGCAAGCAAGCACAGACAGCTACAGGCTTAGACCACCTCTGCATATACTGGGCACAAACGAAGATCACAAAGACAACTGAAAGGGCCTTACAATCTCTTTTATACGAGCCAAATAATTTTTGCCAAGACACAATGTTAAATTTTTTGGATAACTTAAGGCTCGGGTGCATTTAATTTTGTTGTTCTTTTAACATTATCTTTTCTACATAACCACATACTATGAACTTGTTCTAAAACCACTAAATAAAAGTTTCGCACAACATTTTCAGTAGCACGGTTTATTAGCTGATAAAATATGCTCCGCTTCTTTAGCATGTGAGAACATTTTCAAAAACAAATTGCTTTTCTTGTTATTTGATGAAATCATTTGTATGTTAATTTATGTTGCTATTGCTTTGTTTACATGCATAATTATGCTATGATGATTGGTCAGTGTTTCGCGCACTTGACGGTGTGTGGCTTCTCCTAGGTTTCAGCACAATAGGCCCCAGCAAATGTGGCCTGCGGTCATTTTCCAACGGCCGAACGCGATGCTAGAATTCTGGGTATTTACAAACATCGAATTATTCATGATTTTATCTTTGCACAGGCTATTACAACCGGAATGAATGGCGATATATTCTTAACAAGAAAAAGCTACATTGCTTATTTAAATTCAGCTTTTAGTAAACAGGTGTGTATTACGAGATTCTGCGTCGGAAATAATATACACATAGCAGGCAAATAAAGAATATCTACGTTGATAAAAAATTACAATGATGAGAGTATTACATAAAGTATAACTATCAATTTTAGAAACTTTCCTTACAAAAAAGACAATCAGAGGATCAATAGAAACTAGATCAAAGGTAAGCGAAGGTCTCTTACTATGAACCCGAGGCAGATCACCTTGGCAACGAAATATATCTTCTGTTTTACTTATCAGCGTGTTTGTGCATATTTTCAAGAACAATTTTCGCAGCAATGCCATCTTCTAATGCCATACCTAAAGAATAGGAATAAATTATCTTAGATCTAGAAAACATTTACTGTATAAAGAGTTATATATGCTAAAGCAGAGAGAAGGATTCTGCTGAAATGAACCAAACACACATACGAAAATCTGGTTTCCGTAAACTTTGTAGCTTTATCGTTAGTCAATTCAACGGCCTTCTAACTGGTTAGAGGGGGAAGCCTGGTCTAAACAATACTTCTAGAAACAAAAGAGGGCAGCCACCTACTCCATCTACTTTAAGACTGCCTGATTATACTTTTCTTATAAGAACATAATTCTAATATAATAATACTAAAATTATTTCATATGCATGAATTATTGTCCATTCAACACCAAAATTGCAGCTGAGATGATCGTTAAGTCAGAGGGGATTTTAAAGATTTCCAGACAAAAAAGAGCGTGAGGTAAAATACAAATAGTATGTGAACATATTTAATTGGACCTTACTACCAGCTTGAAGAATACTCCTCAAGGCCTCTCAAGCCTATGCACCACCTGCCTACTAGGTCAAAAAGGTGTCACCCGCACCTTACGACTCTTGCGGTTATGGAATGGTTAATGCTGGTTACATCTGGCGAACTACACAATAAACAAACATCCTAGCAACACCTTCACAGCAAGTGGGGTCATGTATAATTAATTGTCTTTAAAATCTTACATAATACATCCTAGGAACATAAACAAAGTCTCACTGAACACGCTTAGCAAAATTTCCACTTATTGTAATTTTCAATTAAGGTGTACTCAATATACTCAAGCAGGTCCGTTGAGGGGAGGGCAAATCGCCCCAGTCCCCGAGCTTGTAGGGGACTTGAAAAGTTATAACAAAGTTCCTAACAATAAAAATGACAGTTTTATTGACGTTATCGCGGGCTAAATGTTTGTTCTTGCCCGGGCCTGCTGCATTAAAGATATTGCATAATAAATGCTAGCGTTGAACTTTTCTAATACGTTCTGTTGACTTTTTATAATAATAACTAAAGGTACGTTCACACTTGATGAATTTAGGCCATGGAAAACATTTACTGATAAGCTAAACGTTTCGATATATCTGCTATTTATAGTAATTGTAAGTAAAGAGTCAAAACCATTGCTTTACAAAAAGATTGATACATAATGCATTTATTTCCTCAGCTAAGCTCTAAACTTCATCTGGTATTGCGATTAAATAAGGAAGCAGGGTTGCCAGATTGGATTTACAAAAGAAAGACTGATGATAAACTCAGGCAAAAATGCTCACAAAAAGGCCAAATCAAAACATTTTCTCAAAAATACATTGCGCGTGCGCTATTTATATTTCTACGCATGCGCTTTTTAAATGATTTCTTAACTCAAATAAGAAACTTAATTTGTTAGGTTGGATGACAATATTTGACTTTCGGGTAACACTTTGTAGCAAACAACTAATTACTCCATTAACGTTGAAATTACTCTTTCAATTTAGCATTGATGTTCAAAAGCCCAAATTTGAGTAGCAAGCCAAAAACAAACTTTCCTGGCAATTTAACTAAGAAAAAGGCCAAAATTGGAAAATTTGGTCTGAAAAAGGCGAATCTGGCAACCCTGCAAAAAAGATAACCAGTCCGTAATATTTGTGCGACAAATCTAGATTTATCATGTGAATAGCTTTTGTGAAGAGAACAATCTAAAAATTCCACAAAGAGAACACTCTAAAACTCAAGGCTCAATAATAATTGAAAGATGGTTACAAAGTTATCGAGATACATAACTGAGAAAAAAGCCAATATAAATATATCCAGGATACACTAAAACATGCGTTTTTGAAAAAAATCTGAAGTAATAACGATATTACATACCAAGTGACTTGAAGACTCGGCGTTTTGAGAAGTCGATTTGAATGGACCCTGAAATAACATTCCCAAGCTCTCCCAATATTTCTGCCTAAAATGTCAATAAGTCATTCCAGACATAACTAATAACAATGTAAAATTAGTAGTTATAGCATGTTGGTATATTCAAAATCAAGAAAACGACCGATAAAAATTTTTCAATGCGACTTGAGTAGATACAGCAAGACGGCTTCTGCCTTAAAATGATTCACTTTTTCACGTCTTTTCATTCTAGCGGTTTTAGCGGAATTTTGTAAAATCGTAAAAATTGAGTGACAAAAGAAAAAACGTGCACTGCCTTGACAGAGGCATAGGTTCCAAATCTTTGGTTAACTTTGAGCACATTTTACACTTTTATTTTTTGTGTGGGTAGTGGTAAACACGTCAAAAATGGGCCTTAATAAAGCTGCGAGACACGTTTGTTGTCATATTCTTGAATTCTGATTGGTTAACGGGCAATTGAGAATTTTGGTAGCTCAGCCAATCAAAGATTTGGAACCTATGCTGCAAACTGAAGCGACGGAAAAAAGCTTGTCTACGGTAATTACAGTCTTGAGATAGCAAAACAATGGTTAGGCTATATTTCGCAAAATAACATTTTTCCAGATAGTTAGATTTAAACGGAATTAAAGCCGGGGGGTCCCTTTACATTACAAAAACTCCCCTGGGCTCATTAAACCCCGCTGAAACCCGGGATAACTATCATGCCGTATCTCGAATAAGCGCCAAGACTGTAAGTAAATTTAGTACTAGGGGCCCTCCCCTTAAATAAAAAAGGGTACGAAGACAATTTTAGTGTTAAAATAAAGACACGTTCAAAGCACAATAAGTTGAATGGATATCCCAATCCTGATAATGTTCATAGCGCTATCAAAGTATCGTTCGAAGTTTTATAATAGCATCCCACGATTCAGCACCCCCTCCCGTATAAAACCCGCCCAGCCAAAAGTCCGAAAAATAAGCGCTGAGGATTTACGGTAGAACAAAACACAAAAATTAGGAATATATCGTTTTGGCTATAAAAAGCAAATTCAACAGTAAAGGAAAACATTGGTATTCGGTTGCTTCTTAAATGAAATTTTTTTTGCAAACAACAAGAACTAAATATATTTCTGGAAAATGTCCCTACGTGTACAAAGAGATTTGACTTTCCATGGTGGGATTTTAATTAAAGTAGTCCATGAGGAAAAACCTGTCTTAAATATCAATAATTCATGCCCTAAGATATTTCGTTAATAGCAGGATCCGCTAGCGGCCTTGTTTTGCATAAATCATATGTCATGAATTCATAAACGAAGAAAAAAATCGTTCTTTAAGACCGTACTTTAGAAAGGATGACATCGCCAGACTCTTTAAGCGCCCCTTCTGTTGTATCAACTATGACCTGGCTGTTTTGCATGATGTCATCATCAACTTCCCGCCAATCTGGTCGACAGGCGCCAATAACTGCAACAATAATAAACAATAACGAACTACATTCGGCTGAAAATCCCGAGATTCAATTCATTCTAGTTAAAAACGAACGACTCATTTAAATAGATGTCTCCATGCCATTCATCCAATCTCATATGCAAAAGTTTGAATTGCAAGATTTTAGAAAAAAACAACAAGGTCAAACTTAGACATGCTTTTCTTAGGTCAAATGTTAAAGAGTCCTCCACAATTTATTACATCATTACAAAAAAATATCAAAGACGAGAATGACACCAAATGTCCTATCTACATATCTACATGTTAATAGAAGTCTCCAATAGATAAGTCCTATTTGTTTTTACCAAAGGGAGACATATTTGTGGCAATTTATTGACAAAAGCGCAGCATAAGAATTAAACTCGCATCTGAATGATAATTGCTTGATGAATAATACATACTAGGAAAACTAGGAAAATGCCTAGTTCTGGGGTTTGTAAAATGTTAAGATCTCTTGAGACGCAGATATGAAAAATAAAAAATATAGAGAATAAGTTTTACACTAGATAACACCAAAAAACTAAATATAAGATGGGTGAAAGACATCACTACTTACTATTTATGAGACAATTTTGCTTTGTCCATTTCCCAAAGACAACTGGAACTTTTGAAAGTGTCACAGTGACAATGACATCAGCATCTTTTACAGCCACTTCTACACTTTCACATGGCTTTGCATTTACTTTTTCATATTTTCGCTTTATCAAAGTTTCTGCTCCAAACTCTTATCTATAGACAAAAAACATTTGAAATTGCAGTCTCTCTTTAAGGACCTGTTTATATGAGCCAATTTATCCCATTTCTCAGCCCGTGGCAGACACCTGGGGAGGCTAGGAGGGCAGTTGACCCCTCAAACATTTTGGAAGACAATGATATTTTGTTCTTGGGAAAATGTGTCCGTGTCCGCCACTGCTCTCATCTCAAATTTGGCAGTTGGGATAAAATCATCAAATGTCTACATGCAGATTCTTTCCCACCTTTAAGCCATATATGGAGAAAATCACCCTTCCACCTTCCAGCCACGTGAAAATGAAAATTTGATCTCACCTTCCAGCTTCATCCCACTTCCCAGCATAAATATGGAAAAAATCCATCACAACCAAGTGAGATCCCACCTCTTACACATAGTCTTAAAGTCTACTTTGTTGTAATTTTGCATCTGAGAAATATACAGGTCCCATCACTGTTATAATGATCAATGATACATTGCAAATTATAAAAGCAATTATGAATTTTCTACAATGAATTTCCTACAGATTTCTGGCAGACACCTACTTTTTGTAAGACTAAATGTATTCAGTAATATATCATTTCTAGAAAAAAAATACCTGTTAAAAGAAAATTTTGCAAAAATAGTTTTTAATTCTAGAAAAAATCACACCATGAAACAAAATTACCTCTGAAAACTCTTTCACATACTTTAGAAGCTCAATATGACTTTGTGCTTGATGACCACATCCGATTATAGCAAGAACTTTTGCATCAGGAGAAGCCAGATGCTATCATGATTAACAAAAACAAAACTTCATTATTAATTTTATAATCTTACTTTGTTCAGGAAATTGTCAAACAGGCACACAAAGAGCCTACTGAGGCATAGTGCGAGGATAGGTTAAGTTGTTAGAGGCACTGACTACAGAGCCAAGGGTCCGTGGTTCGAGTCCCTGGCATGACCAAGCTTTCACTCAGAGTAAGGAGAGTCACCAGCTCTCTGTAATTCCAGGCGTAGGAATCACAAGGTGTGGTCACATCGAGAGAAAGGACCAGGACACTGCTCGATAAGCATAAGCTTCTCAGTGTCCGAGAAAACTACCTTCGGGTGTGCTAGGTAGAAACAAATACAATAAGAACAAAAAAAACTGAGCAACTGAAAAAGCACATTTAGTTGAAAATATCAAATAAAATGATTTGCAAAAAAATGTAGTGCTGTTAATTCTGTTACACTTTCGCTATGACCAGCCAGGCTTTCCTGGGAAAGGCATGCAATCCACATTGGTGTGAAAGTTTGAATACACTGTTAGAGTTTGAAGTTGCTGTGAGAGTTTTACATTTGCATTTGCTGTAGTGCTTTAATTGGCTATATGTCAGTTGTGGGCCACTGTAAGCAACTGGTCTGCAACAATCTGAATCCGCCTATACCCACCCATAAATAAAAACTACACTTGTGTTAAAAAAGTATTGGGAAAAATTCGATAAAACAACAATCTTGTTGCACTATTCATGTTTGCAACGGAACCTTGATCAAATATGAACAGTCTTTTCTCAAATAATCTAGGCCTATGTAACCTAAAAATGTGGCTAAAAGTTGAAAAAAATACTTCAAATTTTGAATCACAACTTTAAAAGCATTGGAATCTTACAATTTTCCTTTAAATAATAGCAAAATCTGCAAAAAAACTCCGACTCAAGGCCTATAGAAATTTTATGGTTGATGTTTTGCAAACTTTTTGGCATAAAAATAAGGCATTGAAACATCAACAATGTCTTGCAAAAATATCATGGAAATAGCTGCCATATTTGTTTAATGAAAAAAAAATTTAAGAAGCCTTTCCAATTTGTGGTATAAAACGTGTGCAGAATTTCAAAATTTGTCCCAATACTTTTTAACGTAAGTGTAGTTTGCACCAGGCATGCTGTGGTTTTTACTCAACAAGAAAGTGGAGCATTGGTTAAAGAGTTTAAGGTAAAAATAGTACACAACAGGCAAATCTATAAAGAATAGAGATACAGCTTATAAAACCATTAGTAGAAATATTGGGGGGTTTGAGCTCTGGCAGTCAGCATCATTGTCAGACAACCTTGGCTTTGAAATCCTTTATATCCTGTTGTGTCTGTCTTTGTGTTGGAAAATTCTCCTTTCCCCTTCTCGGAACCTGAATTTCCATCACTATATAACACCACAAAGAGCAAAAAATAAAAAACATTATGCAGACATGTGCCAAAAGATTGGAAAAACTCTTAGTGGGATACCTTTGTTGCAACTGCAGTTGCAGCAGCTGTCCTTAAATTTGTAATTGACTCTGCATCCAATACCTAAAGAATGTATAGTTCAAAGTAATCTACAAAGATTGACAATTGAATAAAAAACCAATAAGATCTAAAAACAATTCTGAACAGAAGCAAAATAGGAACTAATAAATTCAAACCACTCCAGTCATTTAAAAGCATGAAAATTGTCACTACAGATAAAAATACACAATAAGATATGACATCTGCATACTTACAGCTGAAGGTGTTCCAGTTTTTGGATCAAAACTCACCACCACTCCTTGGTGAGATGGCAAGCCAAGCTCAGAATTTTCACTGTAGAGTGATACAAGTTTGGTTGATAAAATGCCATCATTGGAAGAATAAGCAGGCATTGACAGCAATACACTGTTGGTAAAATGGAAAATAGTTATGGTCTTGTGATTGTTTAGAATAAGGGGCTAAAACTATCCCTGAGCCAGTGGCACTGGAAACCAGAATGTGTATCGACAGTATCATAGTGAGGGAGGCAAGAGTAGGCAGACAACCCAGATATCACAAATCTCTATTAAAAAGTGTGATTTCTGGTGTCCCAAAAGGTGTGGACCCCAAATTACTTTTCAGAATATTTCTTCAGTCATTCTCTTGCAATTGTTTGAAATATTTTACTACGTTAAGGCATGCCTTTGTTATTTTAATTTAATTCCAGTCTTAACATTGAAATCATTACTTTATGGGGCCCCATAGACCTCTGCTTATTCCTAAAAATTGAGCATAAAAGGATTTATTGCACTTTTATTTTCCTATATTTCTTTTCTTTTATTCTTATTTTATTATTTTCTGATTTTTTTAAAAGCATCTCCTCAAAAAATTAGACAGCTGAAGCCCCTAACCCCACCCAAGCCCCCTTCTCTTTGGCACTGTCCATGTTATAGAGTCTGGGAGGGGCAAAGACCAAAACTATCAATATAAAAAAACTTTTGACCATGATAATCCATGGGCTCTGACACAGGTTGGAAAGTTGGGGGTGGGCAAGGAAAAATTTGGCACCCACAACAAAATATTTTGGAAAAAGCTCTATTGCTTTGCCAAAAAGTGGGGGCATGGCTCCCCCAGGTCCCCTTTTGTCAGAGGACCTGTAAACATATGAAAAATTTGAGGGGTCGTGTCCCTCCCCCTTTGCCTCTTAATGTATAAAGTTTTTATCAAAAAGATTTTCAACAGTTACCAGACTGGAAACTTTGCTTCTTGCGCGGGCAAGTTTATTTTGAAAATTTGAGACTGCGCGCCTAAAATCATGCACTCTTAGTTATTTTTATTGTTAATAATGTTAAATCCCATTGTCAAGGGATCTAGGGGATTTTGCGCGGCCAATATGCAAAAGCGCGCAGAGGTGTGCGCGGGCAATATATTGCGGGCGCGCAGCAAAGTTTCCAGTCTGGAACAGTTAGAAATCAGCGTCAGTTGGGAACAAATGGAGAGGATTGCATCAGCTTGAACCCAATAAAAAACTATCATATGAAGATTTCGATGTTTAAATGCAAATTTTGAAATATGATGATCAATGCAAACTTACTTAATTAAGACAAAATAGCAGATATTTTAAATCAATATTTTCAAATGTTTTGTCATACCCTCCATATTCTTTCACGTCAACAGCTGTCCGCACGGGTTGCACAACGCCTCCATCATCGCCAGGAAACTTTCCAGAGAAATTCTTCAGACCCTTTTCAATGAAATCAATTAAATCTTTGCGGTCTAGGAATAAATTGACTGATTTGCTGTCTATAAACCTTAAAGAGCTCGCTGACATCCTGACTTTTCGAGGCAAGGCCCATACACTCCGCTTCGTACTGCAAATGCAGCGCTTAAACAGTCTCGTTCTGAAATCTTTCGTCCTCCAATGGATTTCCCGCCATTTGCAGAAAGTTTTTGGAATCAGCTTATTTTTGGAATCAGGAATAAGTTTATTTTATTTGTTTACTGCAAAACTCTTTAAAGGACTTTCATCGATTTCATTCATTCTATTTTCTCATGTCGGTCATAGTTGTTTACCTGATGTATTCAAGGGGTTAGGGGGCCACATTGACGTATTAGCCTACTTCCGGTTATCTTAACAGAAAATATTGCATTGCCGTAAGTGGCTATATTGTGGGATGTAGAAAAACGCATATATGTGAGTTGGCAAGTTATTTTAGGAGATACATAGTGGTCAAGCAGATACACGTAGAGTAGATACATCGAGCTATGTAAGATGTCAAGATATGTGACGATGCATGGGCGGCGCCAGAGGGGGGTAAAAGAAAATAAAAGTGCGATAAATCCCCTTATTGTTTAATTCCAAGAAATAAGTTGTCCACGGGCCTTATAATGTAATGAATTCCATTTTATGAATGGAATTAATCAAACGTACTAGAAGCATGCCTTGAAAAAGCAAAATGTTTTAAATTATTGGAAGAAAATCACTGCAAGAAATATTCTGAAATGCATTTTAAGCTAATCTAAAGGGTGTGGTCGCAAGAATTTTCTGTTGCTTCGCTCGCAGGGAAGTTCTCTTATTTTAGATATACCTAGGGCCTCTGACAACTTATCGCCGGCCCTTCCGATGTGTCGTTAGCATAACGATTGCCCTATAAGATCATAGGCATTAAATATCGTGAAACACTTTGAATTTCTTGAAGTACTATCTGTACATTTTGAACAGATAGTACTTGAGACAGACTGTGCTGTTGCTGTGCCTCCTCGAGAAATTCAAGTTTGCGGAGAACAGAGAGTTGTATTATTGCTGAAAAGCAAATGTTTAGCCTGGAAAGGTTGCATAGATGATAACGACAGAAGATGATTATTCGCTCACCAACTGTCGTTTCGGCCAATGTTCATGCTCGGCAATCAATTGTATATATAGACTTGAACGTTTCTTACGCTTTGCTGGGCTCTTTTGATAAATTTATATTTACAACTCGTTCAAGCAAATACTTATAGGCCGGGGGACTAGTGTAACTGTAGCCCCTAGATTTGGGCATAACAGAAGGCAAGAGATTCAAAGAATGCAGAAGGTGGGCCATTCAGTGCTTATAAAATGCTGCTAGGAAACAAGCAAATGATCGATATTAAGGTATTTTAGAATGCAGTGGTTTGATTTTTTTTACTTGTAATTACTTAAATTTATGTCACATCACTGAAATTGTAAGATTTTGTTATCCGGAGACTCTCACTTCAACCGGGCCGTTCTCGCTCGTAAATGGGATGCAACATGTTCCTTTTCAAGCAAACATTGTGATACTTTAGCAGAATCCCTTTAATTCGTATATAGGGTTCCATGTTAGAAAAAAAAAATTAATTTTATCGAAGCCGGTTTTCTTCCGGTACCAATTTGAAGGCTCCCTGAGCAGTAGCGGCACCACGGGGGGACTGGGGGGACACGTCCCCCCCAGTTCTCGGCAGGATCAGTTTTGCATTTCGTCTTAATCCGATGAGAAAATGTTGAGGGAGAAGTAATATTTTGGCAACGTACTCTTGTGATGTAATCCTATGATTTTCAAACTGTCTTTACATAGCCAAAAGTGAGTCGTTAGGTGTAAGTGCCAAAAGACCATGGACGTTAGTAAAAGGGCGTTTTCTGGTACTAAAAGGGGCGTGGTCTAAAATTCTTTGTTTGTCCCCCCAAAGCGTAGTTGCTGGCGCCGCCATTGTCCCTGAATTCAAGTGAGAATAATCAGTGAAACTGGAAGGATAGTGAGAAAAATCTTAGCAGTATTCATTCCGGACTTCCCTACTCTGTTTTTTATGTTTAATCTATACGTGAAATATACGCATTGCAAATGCAAAGGGAAATGTGAGTTACAAAAACGGGACAGCAGAGAGTAATAAAGGAGAGGCCAAACACAACTCAGAGTACAAAAACAGCCTTTAGGTCATTCTACATTCTGCCATAAATGGCATCATGTTGTATATAAGTATATTGGAACAGAGGGATACAAAAGTGTTTACATAATCCTTTCATTGAAAGATGACAATTTAATTTACATTGCATTTTAACTATCGGAACTACACAACACTAACGACATACAACAGTAGGGATTTAAGTGTTTACAAGTAAGAGTCAGAGATTTTTTATGCTTAGTCAACTTAACTTGGTAAAGAAACCATCAAGGATCAACGAGACAAATATATTGTTTAAGGTATTGTTGCATGTCGTTACTCTAGTCTGATCCTTTAAAATAAAAAGCTTAAGTGTTGTGTTCGTGCAAAAAAATCAAAAGAATAAATATTCAACCGATTACGAGTCAAACTGTAGCTGTGAAAACGATTTTTTCTATGCAGAAAGTAAAATCTTAATAAAAAGAGATATCCAAACAAAAGAAAAATTTAATCAGCAAAAATTATGTTGATCCGTAGAGACCAAGGTCATCAATAAAACTTTGCTTTAAAACGAGAACAAAGTCAGCTAAATCTCTTTTTACATTTACATTAAGCATTAAAGACAATATTAACAACAAGGGGCATATTGGGCAAACCCAGTAGAGTTTCAATTAATTGTAAGATCACCTTCCTCTTTATCCTAAAAAATTAAGGGGTAGGAAGGGACAGGTATTGAATATGACTTGGACCTATTTTTGATCAAGAAATGTATGTCGTTGCTGATTGGCTGATCAGGGGTGGACAAATATTGTGGGGGACAAGCCTATTGTTTTGATATGATGATGTCACATTTTATCTTCTTTTAGGACTAAAGACCATTATCCTCCAAAATATTTGGGGGAAGACCGCCCCCAGGTGTCCACCACTGGCCATACCTGCAAATAAAGCTGAAAAAAAGTGCTATGGGTACAGCTATAGCAAAAGACCCATCATTCTAATAAATGCGTGAATCATCATTTATTTTGCAAAGTTTCATGGTTGCCAACAACATCGTTCGTACAAAAATGGCGCACATTGTCGTCTTTACTTACAACAGTTATAACTTATCACAAACGACAAACGATTTAATCATAAAAAAGTTGGCAACAAGCACTGTACTACCCAGCGGTACAAAATTATGAAATGTAAATTCATGCTTTGGCAGATTAACTTAGCAGGGAAACTAGAGAACCAAAGGTACAACTTTAAAGTTACCAACTCTTTTCAACAGGACAACGTATTATCTAATAAATTTACAGAACCCTTTGGCATTGTTCCTATGTTCCAAGGAAGCAAATAGATTTAAAACAACCAACGATGCGATGTTTTCAAAAAAAATTTCAGTTGATGAAGCATACATGACTGTTTTTCCAGATTGATTAGAATTTTGTTTGTATTTTCATGCCCAACCAGGTACCAGGTCCAACGGTTATAAATAGTCCTTTACAGCAAAACAAAAACAAATGCAGACATCAGAAGGGTGACCATGAATATTGAGGGTTGAATAGCTCCAGTGCCGTCTACAAAGGTAAAAAGAACGTGTAAGATTTTGTCAACATGCTGTCACTAATGAGCTGTTAGATTGACAGAAAAACATCAAGTCATTAAATTACGCAACAAGGGGAAGAAAGGTGTTCTATCATCATCATCATCATCATCATCGTCATTATCATCAATTAAATTGACTAAAGTACAATTTAATACTTAAATAAGCTCTTTACATCTAAATGACAAATTCGAGCTTTTACAGAAAAAAGAAAAATTAATTAAATAACAGCAACAACAAGTAACAGTACGAACATGATTAAGCGACATATATTAAATTTTATGTAAATTCAGCCAAAACAAACAAGGAAAGAGAAGCAACAACTACAACAAATAACTTAGTCTGAATTTTTTTTGTACCTAAAAATTTCCCTTATAAGCCTTGCAATATTGGCCCAGAGTCTTTTAGTGTTGTCTGTTTTTGTCATCAATCTTTGATATTTTAGTATAGACGGGTATTTAACAACATAGCTAGGAATGTAATCAATTCTTATATGCGAAAAAGTAACATATTCAATGCTAGAGTGGCATATAAGTGATATGTAGGAAAAGTTCTGAAAGCATAAAGAAAACTTCAAACAAGTTGCTTTCATTACGCAATTTTCAACAAGCCGTTTTAAATACCTAAGCATCGAAACGTGAAATACTTAATATATCAAATGATATTTGTCAGTAATCACTTAGAGCTTCAAAGATACATTAAGATACAAAATTAGAAGAAACCGTTTGAGACATGAAGGCAAAAACACTTACTACATTCCCCATTAATGCATTTTTCTGGACAAGCCACAGCTATTGTTGTATTCAGTCCATAAATGTCTGCTTTACAATGATTGATTGTTGCTCCTTTGCATTCCCGTGTCTTGTTGAAGGTTCTTCCTTGGCCTAGGCCCTGGCAGCATGTTTCTTTGCAGTTGTCTAACCAACCTCCAAAATCTGTAGTTTTGAAGAAACCAGTAAATAAGGGAATGATTTAAAAGTTTGGCGGCTTGCCAACCAAGCAGATAATACAATTTAGCAAACGTTCCATAGAGCAAATCCCAGCAAAAAAAATTTTTCCTTTTCAAACGTCAGACTGACTTTGAATTTTATTCAGGAGGTGCAGATTGTAATCAAATATAGAAGGCTCTTTTTGAAAGGGTGATACTCCTGGCACTTTGGGAAGAAAGAGTCAAAATATTTTCAGTTCAATTCAATTTTTATCAGAGAATCTTAATTGATTTTGAAAACAGTACAGTTTTCCCTGTTAAGTGGGACTCAAGCGAATGTCCAAGTTAAAGACATTGAGTCATGGTAAAATGGATATGGTATATCTAAAGTACCCAATTCTGCCGTGTCATGATTTTAGTGCTGCGATGCTATTGGCTGATCTGGAACTGATCACACGAACACACCTCGTACTGATTAACAAAACAGTTTCCATAAGTTCTCACGGGACCAATGTCACATGAAACTGCAGCGATCACGCCGAAACCAAACGACCCCCTAAAGAGAAAGCCTACTTACCATGACCCAATGTTTTTAAGAAAATCTCCTGG